GACAGTTGTAACTTTGTACCGTCTTTAAATGAACGGTCGTTAAGCAAGGACTACCTGTACTCCAATCTGGTGATGTCTGTATATATAGTCATAATTTTGGTTGTTTGAAGACTATGTAAGCAGCGAAGAAACTAATGTTGTTTTGCTGCATTACTGCTTCCTGAGCCATACAATCCAAATATGTATTCCTCCCTTCTATTTCCAACTTTGACATTCCATCTCAGCGTAACTTGCTTGCATATTCTGTCTGTTTCAGATTGAATTTGACCATAAAACTCATCAACCTTCTCTTCTTTTGATCAGTGGTTAGCGCATAAACTTGGATAGTCATCATATTAAAAGGTTGTCTGCAAAGTCAACCTGATATTATTCAGTCATTGACTGTATGGTACCCTGATACTGCCTTTCTTAAATATCTTTCCTGATTTTGAAAGCAACACTGTTTCTTCTTTGTCCTTTATGTCCTGAGTAGTAAACAATATGAGCTTCTGACTGAAAGTGCCCAATTCCAGTCCATTTCAATTTGCTGATGCCTAAGATGTCAATCTGCAGTTGGTTCATTTCATTTTTCACTGTGTTGAGTTTACCCCATGTTCATGATTCTTACATTCCATGTTCCCACTGTAATTCTGTGTTTGCAGCTTCACATTTCTTTTTCCTACATGGCAACATTAGCAACTGGACATCCCAAAGGCTTTAAACATACCTTGTTATAAACACCATTAGTACTCTGAAAGATCCTCAGCTCTTCCTCAGTAGCCTGTTAAGTGCCATCCAACCTGAAGGACCCATTATCCAGCACTATATCGTCAATTGCTTTTAGCTTGTCTAGCTATATGGTTTTCTTGGCAGAAGACAGGAGTGGTTTACCATTATCTTCTCCCATGCAGTGTGAATTGATGGTTTTGCTGTTGTCACTAAAGGGATCATCCATCTCCAGCATGTTCCTGTATCGCTGCTGCCCAGATAGATGCCCGCTTGCTTTAGCTGGGCAGCTGGGATGACCTTCACACCTTGAGTGACCCTGCTGGGTGTATATACTCTGGGCATACACTCCTAGTGTTCTTTGCTCATCCCTCCCAGGAACACACACACACACACACACACACACCCGCCATGATGAGGCAGCAGGCAGCATAGCAGAACTGGGGGGAGGGAAGTGTGTTCTCTGCCATAATGGTATAAAATTAACTATCCCCATATTTGATCCCTATCCCAAATCTATTGCTTCTGTTTTGGCTTGCTGCCAAAAGGTGGTGACCTAATTTTGGATGTGCAGGGCATATTAAACAAAGCTTCTTCTGTTCTCCTGCTAGCAGTAAACCATCTGCCATGTCAGGGCAGCAGAGCCAGGATGGCACAGTGATCAAGCTGGCACAATGGCACCTTCTTTTACAGTGCACTTCATGTTTTCTAGGGGTGGGGTAATAGAGCTGACTGGGCCGTGGTAATTGTTTATGAGGTTGGAAGTTCTAACTTGGACACAGAGGTAGCCATTCCCAACCCCAGTGATGCCAAACGGCAAAACGTGTGTTGTGATGTCACGATGCAACCTCTGCTCTTTCATGCTTGCATCACAGTGTTGCGTTCAAGTAAGTAAGGTATGGAGTTTGGATCACTATGCGTATTTCATCACTTCCCCACTCCCTTGCTCCCCCACGGATGTATATGCCTTGGCAACATCCTCCTGGAACATCCTCTCTGGATGAGAATGTTTTCAATTCATCAGTTCCAGACAAATTTCAGCACTGAAACTCAGCAACTGCTTACAGTATCTTAAAAGGGCCATTATTAAATTTTGCCAGTAGCAGTTTTGAATGGAAGTTGATTCCCAAAGGTATAATAGAACAAGAAGCAGGACTAACCCTGAAAACAGCCTAGATCAGAGACGTGAAAACTATCTGTAAGCTTTTCATGTTCCTTGGGGAAAGAACATGACAGAAGCATGCAATGATAATATTTTTAAAAAATGAAATAAAATCAAAATTGGCTCTTTTGTATTTATATGGATTTTTGAGTGTTCATCAGTAAAAAAAGTCTGAAGCAGTGGGTTTACAGGTAGTCCTCGCTTAATGACTACAGTAGGGACTGGATAATTGGTCATTAAGTGGGGCAGCCGTTAAGGAAATCACCATGTGGCAACCCAATTTTACAACCATTTTTATGATGGTCATTAAGCAAATCACCACGGTCATTAAGCGATCTAGTGTTTGTTAAGCAAATCACATGGTCGTTAAGCAAATCCAGCTTCCCCAATAGATTTTTTTGTTGGAATTCACTTAACGACTATGTGATTCACTTAAAAACCACTTGATTCACTTAACAATCGAGGTGATTCGCTTAGTGGCTGTTACAAAAAAGGTCGTAAATCACTATCACATGACCATGGGGCTGGCGCAATGGTTTGCAATGGTCATAAGTGTGAGTACAGGTCATAAAGCACTCTTTCCAAAGCTGTCGTAACTTTGAACCATTGTTAAACAATCATAAGTGAGGACTACCTGTATTCTGATTCTTATGAGTAGCTTTCCACTACTATACCTGGTTATTCTTGATGACTTCTTGCCTCAGCTTCCCTTTCTGATGTAGCCTTTCCCTTCCAGGACATTGTCACCATGCAGCTGTGTGCCAACAAGCTCGACAAGAAGGATTTCTTTGGCAAATCTGACCCCTTCCTTGTTTTCTACCGCAGCAACGAGGACGGCACGTACGCAAGAGAACCCCTTTTCGAGACAACCATCTTCCCAGGCCTGATTCTGGGCTGTTACTCCAACGGCATGCAGCTGCCTTGATAATGTCACTAGGCCCTAGTTGTTCACAGACACCCACAAGTCTGCTCCCTTAGGAGACAGTAGGCTTGCCTTTCTACTCGCTTCTACCTTCTCTGATCATTCTTTTTGCTAGTTAAAAGGAGACGGGAAGGATGGGGAAATGGATTAGGGTTGGGGGGTTCTCAGATGTCCCCCCAACCCTAATAGATAACCGCAATTTCTTCCGCAGCAGTTTCCACTCACATTTTCATTCTGAGATGGAAGAATAAGATTAGACAAAATACTTTTTTTTTTCTAAACATTCCTAGCATCTAGGAATATAATGACTATTCCCTGTTGTCACGTGAGCAGAAAATAATGGCAAGGGGGCAGGGCATGACTTAAGCCAAGCGAACAGGGCTCCCTTGATCAGAAGCTTTTGCCCTTGACCTTCTCCATGCTACCCTATGTGATATTCTCTCAGCTTTCTTTCTCATCCTTTCTAAAGGCCAGGTTGTATGCTCAAGGCTCCAAAGAGTAGATTACCCGTTTCACTCTAACCCATTTTAACCATTTTTCTGTACTCTGGATGGATGAAGAGCTGTCACAGAGCCAGGGGAGGGAGGGAGGGAGGGAGGGATTCACTTTTCAGTGCATATGTTCTGGGCTGAGCAAGATTGTTGCATGACTGATGGCAGCTAGAGCTGGGGATTTCCTTAGTTCCGTGTGTTTAGAGTGGAAGCGTCTGATCTTCCATATGTGGCAAAGATGCTCTGGTTACGGCCTTGCTTCAGTCCTTGGCTGCGTGTTTTAGTGGTAGAGGCAAAGAAGGCTATCATGGTTGCTTAGCAACTGTAGCACTCAATGTCCATTTCTAGCTTGGCTCAGAAGTGGTTGCGAAGCACATTCCACATTTGTTCTCCGTCACAACAAGCTGATCTCCATCCTTCTCCAGCAAGTGGATGTTCCAATCAAAGGATTTGGGGGAAGAAGACCATCAGGCACAGTGTGCAATTCCTGGGCTTGGGAAGCACATATGGAAAGGGAAGATTGAGATGCTGTGGCTCAAGGGCTTCAGCTGAAATTCCCTCTCCAACTTTGGTGCTTTAGAAACACAAAGGAGCCTTGTGTCGGTGGGTTCTTCTTGGGGATGGACAATTATTATTCTTTCTGGATGGATCAGCTTTCTTTAACCTGGTGGCCTGCAGATGTGCTGGACTACAGTTTCCATTCTCTCCAACTAGCATGGCAAATTGTATTCTCAGCTACGTTGTAATCCAACTCATCTGGAGGCCACCAATAACATCTTACCCAAATCATGTCCCTAAATCTGTAATATGTTACTCCATGCCACGTCAGAGCCAACAGCCCTTCTTTCATCCCATCTTTTGCCCCCTTTTGCCATGACTCCTCTCTGGTTCCAGGTTCACCATCTGCCACAAGACAGAGGTGGTGAAGAACAACTTGAATCCAGTGTGGCAGCCGTTTTCCATCCCTGTGCGCTCCTTGTGCAATGGGGACTATGACAGGTTAGAGTTTATACTCTTTACTTTGGGCTTAGACACAATGGCTGTGTATCTGGGCCCCAAGACTGGCAAAGGGCAAAGCACCCAAATATTAGAGAAGGTGGGGAGAAATTTAATTCTTAATTGTTCTGCTGTTTCCAGGTCAAGGGGCCTCTGAGAGTAGCTAGCCCCACTAGCTTAATGTGCCTTGGAAAACTATCCAGGTTCCTTTAGATACAGTATCTGTAAGGAGCAATCACTACAAAGGGCTGTATATGTGGGACATACATACATGTTTTAGTGGCATAAGGAAGATTTATATTCCCTGGCATGCTTCCCAGGAGTGCAGGAATGGTCTAGATCAGGGTTTCTCAACCTCAGCAACTTTAAGATGGGTGGACTTCAGCCAGCATGGGAATTCTGGGAGTTGAAATCCACCCATCTTAAAGTTGCTGAGGTTGAGAAACCCTGGTCTAGATGTTATGGAATGGCACAAAAGGAATTTAATAGGGGTGGACATAAACTCTAAAACAAGCCATATCTCCTTCTTTTTCATTAGGGCTCATGTTTTCCTAGGCTGAAACCTTTCTTTTGGAATTCACCTTCTCTCACCTTTGACTTGTTACTTCTATTCTAGGACCGTGAAAATCGACGTCTATGACTGGGACCGGGACGGCAGGTGAGAATATAGGCCAGTTTTTATTGATCACCTTTCCCAACTTGGATCTCTCCAGAAATCCTGAATTACAATTCTTACCAACTCAGCCAACATGAAATTGTAGGGCATCATGGTAGGTCTAGTCCTTCCTCTTATTCCAGGGAATCAAGAAGCAATCACCTGGGCATTGTATTCTAATGGCAGATGGCATTAGAGTCAAAAATGGGTGAGGGTTTCTCACTTTCAGATGCTCTCTTTCTCTCTCTCTTTGTCTTTTCAATGCTTTCTCTTCACACAGCAAGTTGCTAGCAAAGGGACAAATAATGTTTTTCCTAGAGGTTATTTGCAAAGATTATTGGAAGTTGAGCCAAAAATCCTTTTCTTGTGCCTGTCCTACATTAACTGAATAGGGCAATCCCCTGTATGCTTATGTAGATGTAAATCCTATATAACTGTCTGTAGGGTTGAAGTCTTGGCTTTAATACAACAAATTTAAAACATCAGTTATTTTATTTTCAAAACAATTTGTTCCTAATCTGAGGCCAGGATTAGCAGAAATAATTACTGGGACTTTTTGAAGCCTTCCCAGCTAGATGACAGCTCACAGCCAACCTTGGCTGATTTCATAAGGCTGATCCAATAATTTTGTGTATGGGAGACCACCAAGAGGCTGTATGTAGACTAGGAAATTAAAAAAAGATGATGACAGTTGGAAAAGGATTTCCTTACTGTTGGCAAGAAAATTACATGTGATCAGAAAAAACTAAGGTATGTCATATTTGGATAGAACTAAGGTGGGATATCGACATGGCTGTAGGTTGAATTAGAAAGTCATAATAACACCCCAAAAGAGGGTAGTCCTCGCTTACTGACTGCCTCATTTAGTGACCATTCAAAGTTACGATGGTTTAAAAAAACAGCTTTGCGACCAGTCTTTGCATTTATGACCGTCACAGCATCCCATGGTCACATGATCACCATTGGGGCACTTTGCAACTAGTGACATTTATGACTGTTACAGCGCTGTGTGGTCACGTGATTGCCATTTGTGTACTTCACAACTGGTTTCTGACCAGCAGAGTTAATGGAAAATGCGGAAGTAAAATTGCAAGTTGCAGTCACGTGATGTCTTGCTTAATGACCAGATGGGAAGTAAAGTCAGTAGCTTGTTGTGGTCACATGATTTTCCCCTTAGCAACTGCAGCGCTTAGCAATGGAGTTGTCGGTTCCAATTGTGGTTGCTAAGCAAGGACTACCTGTAATAGGAACTGCTTCTGTATTGCTACCAAAAAATTGCATGGCTGTGGCCATGGAGTCACCTGAAGTTTTCACCATAACCTGTAGACAACCCATATTTATGTATTATCCTCCCTCCCCCCCCAACAATCCCTGGTCTGAGCTGTTTCTCTGATGCTGGATCAGCGCAGGCTGCATGATAAGGAGGTAAAATGAGTGGTGGTCCTTCAGCAGCAGATGGGAGAGGCGATTTTTAAGTACAAAGAAAAATCTGTAAGGGGTGAAATCTGAAGAGAAAGAGAAAGAGGTTTTTTCTCTGCCCACTCCTTGCTTTGATTATTTTCTCTTTGCTGAGTTTGGGTTTTGGACACGGCAAAGCACTCAAAATCCTCTCCCGCCCCCACCTGCAGTTTGAAGCGGTACAAGTCTCTTTACCAGCTCGTTCTGCTGCATTTGTAAATGCACCCTGTGGAGCAAAGAAGATTAAGTGGATTGGGTGGGTGGAGTAATTAAGAATCCTGGGTTCTCCAGGGCGGGATGAGGGATGCTCAAAACACACTTTATCCATAAACCCGCTCAATCCAGTCGTAGGTCCAAGCTACATCAACGTTGAAGCATTGCATTACTTCTTTTTTGTTGTCCCTGCAGCCATGATTTCATTGGAGAGTTTGCCACAAGCTATCGGGAGCTCTCTCGTGCCCAGAGTCAGTTCACAGTCTATGAGGTAAGCTTTCTTCTGGTAAAATACAGATCATCTTGAACAGTATTCAGTTTTTGCAGGGCTTGTACTACTTGGAGTCAATAGATTACATTTCTGCTGAGAAATCTGGGGATGTTTCAGACACCTGAGAACTATGGGTTTAAAAACAATGCACACACACAAGTTTCTAGTCTTCATGGGTGTAGAGCAACCCAGTGACATCTGTTAATGGTTGGTAAAAGATCTGGAGGGGCTTGTTTTTGTTTTCTGCTTTCAGAGCGCTTGATCCTCTTGTGCTCTAATTAAGCTTGCTAGCATTAGTCCTGCTTCATCACTGCAGTCTTAGCAGTATTTTGATTTCATTTGTTCGTTTGTTACGTTTGTATCCCATCTTTCCTTCAGAAGCTCAAGGCAGCATTGTCAGCAAGGATTGTCCAGATGAAGAGATCATCATATTCAGATGAGGGTTACACATCTCTAGTGCAATCCAGACATATTGAACAATAGTTCTCAGAATGTTTGACCATTGACTTTTGGTGATTGGGGCTCGTGGGTTTTGTAGTGCAGAGGAAACTAGGTTGTTTAGCCAGTTATTTCCATGCTATGAGCTTCATTTGTGATCCAGCTTCTGCTGAGATACAGGAGGGTCCAAAGCCAAGTGCTTAAGCAAACTTTTGTCTGCAGAAGAACCCATATTGAGTCCAGCACTGCCATATTAAAAGGATGGGAGAGATGGTGGGAAAGATTCTTAAAGAAGAACAAGGGCTGTTGCTATCAGAGGAGATGTATACTGTTCTAGATGGAGAAATAGTATGACCTGAACATATAAAGCATGTTCCTAGGAGGAAACTGGAATGAATTCTTCTCCATCCAGTTGTCATTACTCACCAGCCACTACTGATTGTTGCCAATATCCCAACACTTTCCTTTCCTTTCATCCAATTTGGAGCAGTGGAAAAGAATCCAGTCCTGAAGTAGGAATTGGATCCTGAGACAGGTGTGGCTTTGGGAAAGAAGACCAAAGCTGAAGTAGTGTGATCAGCTATAGGCAGCTGAGCATATAAGATCTGAAGGGTGAATGTCACCAGCCTTGTCTTGATATTCAATTTGGGTGGGACATGGAGTATCTCCTCAAGAATATTCTTCCCTAAAACTTCTTCCTGATGTGTTGGGACAGTAGTCCTGGGATTTCCAGTCACCGTGGCCAGGTGGGGCAAGAAAAGAATTATCAGGGATGCCAACCAGCTGGTAGGGGACAAATAAACAGAATGTGGCTTCTGACAGAAACTAGAGAGAAACGCCAAAAAACACAGTTTGACAAAAACCTGAACTTGGACTAAATGTGAAGCTCAGCACTAGAGGAAAGGATGCTGCTGAGAAAAGGAAGATCTGAGAATTCTACATTTTCTTTCTTTCACTAGAACTCTGAGATTGCTACTGATTCTCAGATCCAGGTGGAAAATGGGAAAAGGAGCAGGGGGAGGAGAACTGAATCTGTTAAAACTGTCTAAAGATATCTTTAACTTCCCATTCCAGATCAGAAGATCTTTTATTACTGGGATATGTGGGAAAGGAAAGGATAGAAATCAGGGTGCTGCATAGTGAACAAAAGAATGAGATGATTAAAAATGCTTCTGTCCTACTTCATCATTGAGGACTTACATGTAGGGGTCACCTGGAGAATTGAATTGATGGTTGATTAGTTATGGATATGTGCCACATGACCTGTCCAGTATCTTAGATAATGATGATAAACCAAATGACAAAAGAATAAGAGAAAAGATATTGAATTTATGATATAAGGCTGGAAGCAGACAAGCTGACATGATCTTCCAACTCCACAATCACATTTGAGGTCCATTTTATAGGAAGACATTACTAGGAGCTAGCTTGCATAAGCCAGAAGTTTGCAAGGTAGTATTAATTTTATCAGATGGGGTATTGGCTATCTCTGATTGTCTGTCTGCACCAAAAGACTCTTAATCTGGCAGTTTGGGAATTATAACCAATCACTGTTTTGGTCAAAGAAGGTTCATATATAACTTTCTCCAAATGGTCAGTAGAAGTGTAAAAAAATCTAATTAAAAGCAATCGGCTGAGTGCTATGAAGATGTAGCCTTGTCATGCATTGATAGATATATTTTGATTATGTCCATGAGCAATTCCATATATTTTTAGAATTATGTACATCAATTCTATGAAAGTGAAAGATTCCCCCCCCCAAAGGAAGTCCCTCTGAGGGCATCTAGAACTATTGTGTTTTTTTTTGCAGTGCGCTATTTCTTTGCTTACAGAAGAAGCAAAGTACTGTAGTGTAAAACTAAGAAAGCCAGTTCTGTATCCTTGGGTACCAAAAGTAGTATAGGTTTTCTCTCCTAGAATTATGAACAGAGGGAGGCAACTCTGAATGGACTATCTCTCATTAAAGCCAGAGTATGTGCTCTGTAGCTTTTTAAAAAATACCAGCCAAGGAAAACATTGCAATTGGTAGGGAATGTTTAAGATTTCTCACTCACCCTCAGAGTTTGAGTATTGATCTGGAATCTGAAATGTATTTTAAGCAAACTTTCTTGCACGTTACCTCCAGAGGGTTCTTAACACTCCCAATCAGAAAACATCGTACAGTTAGTCCTTCTTTCCCTCTTTGGTTTTCAGTGGTAAAGGAAAAAAAAAAAGAATAATTGTAGGGAAAACACAGGTAGGTTCCATTTGGAAACCAGCCAGCCTCATTTAGATCACCCTATATAATTCCACAAATGAGGCTGGGCAATTTCTCCATAAAAGTCTCATCTGGAAACACCCAACATTCAGAATATCTCTGCCTTTCATCACTTGAAAATGTCTTTGCTTTTCCTTGGGTAGATGAATCTGTGGCCAAATTGTACATCTTCCTATGTTAGCTATTTGGCAGTCCCTGGCCTAAATGAAAAGGTAGATGACCCTGCCTTTCGAAAAGGAGGTGGGGTAAGGTCCTTCTGTTCCTTGCAGCTCCGTGAATCTGTGTAGTAGCTGGGCTATGGAAGCCCCAAAAGCAGAGGAAGCCTTTCCATGGATGGAACTTGGTTGCTAATTATTTGTTAGTTAACGGGAAAAAAGTGTCACCTCTCATTCATTCTTCTCTCCCATCTCCAGGTTTCAAACCCTAGGAAGAAATGCAAGAAAAAGAAGTACATTAACTCGGGGACTGTAAGTGTAGGACATTTTTTTCTCTCTCAGCCCACACCCCTGCTGTCCCTTATCCTTACAAATCAATGCACCAAGTTATCTGAAGGTGATGGGAATCTTTTCACTGGGGCACAGTCTAGCTCAATGTTTCTCAATCTTGGCAACTTTAAGGTGTGTGGACTTCAACCCCCAGAATTCCCCAGCCAGCTTGCTGGGAATTCTGGCAGTTGAAATCCACACACCTTAAAGTTGCCAAGGTTGAGAAACACTGGTCTAGCTTTTCCAGTCAAACTTCTAACCTGCTCTAAAAAAAAGAAATATTTGCTTATGTTATAGAAGCAAATCATATTTCCCTTCCCTCCCTGATTCACTTCTGTCGAGGCCAATCCAGAACAGACCCCCAGATCTTTCTTTCTGCCCACATGACTGCACCATCCAGTATTTCACATATTTTTTTTTCTTCTCTTTTGTTTGTTTTTCTCTGTTCCTGGTAGGTAACCCTTCTGTCATTCACGGTGCAGTCAGAATTCACCTTTGTTGATTACATTCGAGGCGGGTGCGTCGGTTGAAAATCCTGGATGCCTCTCAGGTCCCTGGTTTCTGAGGGCCAGGGGCCCTCAGCCCTCTTCCTGTCTTCACTGCCTCTGAGGCATTGCCCCAGGCGGGGAAACTATAACAGGGCATCAGGGGCAGAACACAATGACTTTTAAGGTGATGAGGAATTAGATGCCTCAGGAGTGGCAAGCTGGGGAGGGTGGGGCTGCTCTCAGGGAGACTCAGTGGGTGCCGGTGAGAAGATTAACGGCCTAGCACAAAAAGGGAGCACCCTTCGGACACTTTAAGGGATTCTCAAGGATGGCAGCATCCATTTCTCTCTCTTTTCCACACCATCCTTAGGACACAGCTGAATTTCACAGTCGCCATTGATTTCACGGCCTCCAATGGTGAGTGCAGCATACCAGAGTGTCACTATGGGAACAGAGTGCAGCTCTGCTGTTGGTAACAAAACTGCCAAGTTGACTCTGATGCTTGCTGAGATTTTGTGGAGTGGTCACATCAGGGTGGTATTTCTGCTCCCGTTATTCCATATTTGGGGAAATATGATGAGAATTCATTTGGGTCCACTGGATAGGGATGGTTGAGGAGGAAGATGTAGGAATGGACAATAACGGCATAATGAAATAATGACTTCTGATGGGAGGGACAGACAAGCCAAGTTGAAATAGAAGATGGGTTTTGTTCTGTTAAGATGTTGACTAGATCAGGAAGTTGAAAAAAAATCTTAGTGGAAGACTGTGGCTAACCACATCTGCCAAGAAAATTGCATAGGTGGGGTCACCAGCAGTCAAGCTGGACTTATTCCCTTTTACTCTGCACTGGTGAGAACACACCACTGTACAGTTCTCAGTACTACATTTTCAGAAGAATATTGACAGTTCAGAACAGGTCCAGAGGAGGGGGAAAAAGTTCCTAACAGTGACTTGGACATGCCGTGTGAGGACAAACTGAAGGGACTTGAGATGAAGAATCTGGAGAAGTTATGGGGAGGCATGATATCAGCGTTGAAGAACATAAAAAGAGTACCAGAGAGAAGATAAGATTGCCATAGAAACTAGAACCAGAAATATTGCATACAAGTTCTATCAACCTAGTTTTCACTTACTGAGGTTTATGGGTTCTCCATCTCTGGAGGCTTTTAAGAAGAGACTGGACAGTCACCTCTCAAAGGTGGTTTAATTGGTTTTCCTGCACTCTGCAGAGGGCTGGACAAGATGGTCCTTGTTGTCCCTTCCAACCCCATGATTGACTTGAGGGTGGTTTATATCTTCTTCCTCTGCCCTTCCTCCAATGTTATAGGTCGTGGGAGGTTTCCGACATTGTATATTGTGAATGAGGGAAGCCTTTGGGCTAAAGTGCTGGTGGAGAGGACGGATGCAACATTTCTGAAACTGACAAAATGCCTTTCCACAGGGAACCCCTCACAGCCCACTTCTCTTCATTACATGAGCCCTTATCAGCTCAGCTCCTATGCCATGGCATTGAAGGCAGTTGGCGAAATCATCCAGGATTATGACAGTGACAAGCTTTTCCCTGCTTATGGCTTTGGTGCCAAGATCCCACCAGATGGCAAAGTGTCTCATCAGTTCCCTTTGGTAAGAAGCGGCCTCTTGATCTTGGCTATGCTGTGCAGCGCGGCCACAAGGGCAGAGATGGGAAGGGAGATAGGCGGCTGGGGGGAGTTGAAGTGGAGGCAGTTCGCACAGGGCAGAATGTGACTGCAGGATGCTGCGATGGTCATAAATGCAGCTGGTTGCCAACCACCCAAAATTTGTTCACGTGACTGCAGGGACACTGCAATGGCCACAACTTCCAGGACCAGTCATAAGTCCATTTTTTCAGCGCCATCGTAACTTTGAACAGTCACTGAACGAATGGTTGTAACCCAAGAACTACCTGTATTCTGCATAAGCTTTGAGGTGCATGCCATCTATGACTCAACTTATTTTTTTAACCAATTATTTAAAAAGTACTTTCTGGATAATTTCTAATAAAAGGCGAGCATAGCTGTACAATGGCATATAATTCTATGCTACTGTTTCTTGGATTATGATTTCAATTCTTTATGACCCTAAAGTCATTCTAGTTTTCTCAGGTCATTGTCATTCTATTATCAGAATTGATGGTGGTGCCCAGAAATAGTTTATTTAAAATTCTATTATAACATTAAATTGTATTACCTCATTATGGTGACATTAGAAATAGAATTATAGCTAGAAAGAGTTTTTAGCATTTTCTTCATTGCTGAATAAGTTATCATAGCCACACATCCTTGACTGGAAGTTAATAAGAAAGGTTTTCAAGTCAGAGAATATGGCTCCAAATTATTATATCCTTTAGTACTTCTTTTCTAAAGTGTTACCATTGTGAGGAATATGTAAGGGTCAGTCATACTCAAGGGCATTTCCAGGGTGGGTCAAAAAAGTCAAGTTGGTGACCACAACTAGTACAACCCAAGACCTGTCTCTTTTTTACTTGTATAACACATATGCATCACATGTTAAAAAGGGATGGAGCTTTGCCTGTGCAGTCACTGCTAGCCTTGTACACATTTAGTTTATGCTTCAGCTTATGTAACCCAGCCAAAAAAATCCAAAACCCTTCTCAGGTAGACTTCTATGACTCTTTCACAAGGAAAACCCAAAATTCTAGTCCTCATGCTTCTGAGAAGTTTGTCAGTGCTTAAGGATTGTCTTCCCCAACACAATCCTCTTCACCCCTCCCAGAATTCCCGGCTATAAAGCACCTGAGTGTCCACTGAAGAGCAGTGTTTCTCAACCTTAGCAACTTTAAGCTTTGTGGACTTCAACTCCCAGAATTCTGGGGGCTGGCTGGGGAATTCTGGGAGCTGAAGTCCACATATCTTAAAGTTGCCAAGGTTGAGAAACACTGGGGAAGAGTCTCTCATGCTCGCATTTTCCCGCTTGCTGAGCTGTGCCACTGTCTCCCTAGAACAATAATCCAGACAACCCCAGCTGCGAGGGCATCGAAGGAGTATTGGAATCCTATTTCCAAAGCCTGCGTACTGTGCAGCTATACGGACCCACCAACTTTGCACCTGTCATCAACCAGGTGGCCTGGTAAGTGGGGAGGAGAAGAGGAAGCCGCCTATTTGCCCTCTTGTCTCTCAGAGATGTTGAAGAGTCAAGCAGGCCACACTCAGCCAAAGCTTCTGGGAGCCAAAATGGCCCAGTGTGTCTCCATCAGATCTTCAAGGACATCTTAACTGCAGTCTTCATTGCTCGACCCATCAAGGCAGAGGCCCAAACAAGATCTGTACAGCAGTAAAGAAGGTGAAAGAAATGGGAAGGAAGTGTAGCCCAGTGGGGAGAGCTTATGCTTTGCCTGCAGAATTACCCAGATCCAATCTGCAAAAGAAGGGGTGAAAAGCCTCCACGTGCAGGGAGCTGATATCAGTTGGTGTTGACAGGCATCAGATCTGATTCTGTGTAAAGAATAAGGCAGCTTCTCACATTGTTAGCTTACCAACAAGGCTGCTGTTGTAGTTCTGTGAACAAGAGAACCGTGGGCATCATGGGACTTTCAAGGAACAAATCAAGGAGGGTGTGGGAAGCAAGGAGAAAGCAAGGGCTGAAATCAGTGTTCTCGATCACTCTCCTTTCTTTCTTTTCCAGTTTGGCTGCCCAGATCACTGATGGGTCTCAATATTACGTTCTTCTGATCATCACCGATGGAGTGATTTCTGACATGCTGCAGACTAAAGAAGCAATTGTCAGTGTGAGTGTGCCTTGGTGTGGGTAATAAGAAAAGGAACAGAGTCAGGGTTTGGAACATGAAAGCACATTACCAGCTCCAAATGCCACCCCATGTCCTCATTAATACCCACACACAGAAAAATATCTAAGGGAGAGTATACTGTCATCAATCATGGGTGTGTACGTATGTAGGTGTACCAAGGTAGGCAGCCTTCAGATGACTTAGTCTTCCCCTAGCTCAATTACCAGCCATCATGGCATCTGGCACAGGATGGTGGGAATAGAAGTTCCAAAACTTTGGAAGACACTGGTTTATTGCCTGTGGTGCAAACTGATGAGCGCTGCATGAATTGCAGCTGAGACAATAACATTCTACTCTGCAGGCTTCTTCCTTGCCCATGTCTGTCATCATCGTGGGAGTGGGCCCTGCTGAGTTTGGGGGTAAGTGTTCTTCTCATCCAGATGAATAATGAGCGATCAAGGAATTGAGTCAGATGAACCCAATGAATGGATTGGATGCTTTGAGAAGAGTGCAGGTTGGCAAGGCATCAGGCTGCTATCCCAATCCTTGGGTGGTTGCACCTCAAAGCAGAACTTCCTTGCTGTTGATTGCTTTGCTGGTGAAGCTGATCCTTTGCAAAGCTAGAGTGAAGTGCAAAAATAAAGGCCTTAAGATTTATTCTCCAGCTGGGTGTCAGTAGAGGGAGCAGATCCTGGGAGATGGCAGCAGATGTTAAGATTTTTATTTTTTTTTTGGTCATCTTCAGCTATGGAAGAGCTGGATGGAGATGAAGTTCGAGTCTCCTCCAGGGGACGTTATGCCGAGAGAGACATTGTACAGGTAACCCTTCTTTGCAAATCTGGCTGGTTAGGATGGGCCAAGGGAAGGTTTCTGTGGTGATGTGATGGAGTGTATCTACGAAGAGGAGGGTGATGTGGGGGATAGCAACAGAGAGCAAGGCTATCGGGAAGGAGGGGGTGCATTCCAGGAAGGGCAAGGAGACAAA